CTTAGTATCCTCGAATTCAGATAGGCCAATCTCTCTAGCTTCAGTGTAGCAAATCAGCCACTTCTAAACCCATACATCGTAATTAGTCTTTAGCGGCGGCTGTGTGCGCAGATTTGACTAGTTCTTAGAAACCTAGCGCTTACGAGATAAATTAGTAGGCGCATACATTAGACGAAACATATTGATAACGTCACGCAGAGAGGATTGTGACAGGATTAGTCGTTTGTTATCAGTTAAAACTAAGTTACGAATCCCTTACTTCAGACGGTCAATTAATTTCTAGTAGTGACGGAAGCGGTCTAGTTAGCGGTCATAGTCGCGTAGGATAAGATTATAGCGTGTGAGAGCGTCACCTGCCAAATTAGGAAGATCTCCTAGTAAACTAGCAGTAGGGTACTCTGGTTCTTCAGGTAGCTGCCTAAGGTATTCGACTACCACTTCGGGGTTTATATAGACCCATAGTCCCTACGTAATTGCTTAGTCTTTAACTACTGCATACCACTAAATCCAATCGGCTGAGGTCCTCAGCTAGAAGACTAGCCAGTTGGTTTCTGACATAGTGGCAAATAGTAGGTAGGAAGCAATTAAAAAGATAGAATGGAACAAATTGGTCAAGTAAACAAGATAGAAGGTATAAGATTAAAGGTCAAAGGTATGCGACCGGCAAGAAGGGCCAAACTAACAGAATTCCGCAAATCGTGCGATCTGATTGGTCAAAGTCAAGGCCGTCGGTCGGGGGGTTAAGGTCTTTAGTCTAGTTTGAGACGGTCGGGCTCATAACTAACAGATCCTAGTATATCGGGGGCTGATCCACATAGGACGAAAGGGGACTAGGCAGTAGCTTCCTCTTAGTTATAGGATCCTACTATCTAGGAAAGGAAAGAATGTCTTGAGAACAATAAAGTCGATTGAACTGCTAGCTAAACAGTGGTGTAAACGAGCGTTTAAATACACGATTTGCAGTGGTTTAGGCAGCAAGGAAATAGGGCAGAGATCTAATAATCTGATAGATCTTAATGCAGGATAGAAATGTGTAGAAAGGACGTCGGGATCCTTAGTCAAATAGCCAATTAGGCCATGGTCGATATCTCTGTTGAAGAGATGCATATAGAGGGGCTTTCTGCAGGGGAAAAACAATGGTCCGGCCCGGCAGGCTGCCGGGCCCTCAGGCAACACATAAGCACACACACATAAGCATATACCCCCACACACCCACATAGGCTGACACACCCCCTCAGGTCTTCAGATCGGAGGACTGATGAGCTTGAGATAATAGCAACTACATAAGGTCGTGTGGTAAGTACTCCATACCCATCTATCTCACAAAGATCTCATGTTTCTGGCGGCTAAGTGGCTTGGTTAGGCCATCAGCAGGCAGGTCGGACGAATTCAGCCATTCAATACGCAGGCGTTTCGCCTGAACTTCCTGGCGAATCCATAACTTATTAATATCTATATGTCGAAGCTTGGTCTGGAAGATAGATCTCTCTCTNCTCTGTTGAAGAGATGCATATAGAGGGGCTTTCTGCAGGGGAAAAACAATGGTCCGGCCCGGCAGGCTGCCGGGCCCTCAGGCAACACATAAGCACACACACATAAGCATATACCCCCACACACCCACATAGGCTGACAGCCTATCTTATATCGGACGCATTCTTAGAATTCGACCCAAACGATCAAAATAATCGACTTTAGAGAGTTATTTTTACGCACTACGGTTCCTCAAACGCTACACACACCTTTATCTATGCGGGCTCCCGAAGTTATCTTTCAGGATTATATTAAGTATCGTGTTAACTTATAGAGCATAGGCTATATAGTGGGTGAAGTCACAGAAGCTAAATAATCCGCAAAACGCTATAAACAGCGAACTAATAGGTATAATAGCTCTTTAAACTTTTCACGGGCCAGCCACCTTTCGACATCTTCTTTATAACACCCAAAAACCTAATTACCTAGATACGGGAGATAGCGAGTGACGATCTACCCGAAAGATGGCAAGAGATATAGGATACGATGAACGTAGGGGATGACACAACCACATAAAGCCCGGGACCTAACCTGTAAGAATACATAGCTAGAAGAAGTATATTTTGGCGGCCCGCAAAGTCCAAATCTCACAAGAGGGGATATAGCGAGGCTGGGGCAAATAATTAGAAGATTATTATGTTTTAAGCCGTCTGCCAGAGCATTAGCGAGAGAAGTTTTAGATAACCCATGGTTTAATGAATAGTTAGCACGTAAAGCATGAGTGATCGTAAGAAACTTTCCTCTAACTAAGCTTATACTTAGTAAGTCTCGGTTAGTCAGATCTTGGATTGCTAATATATAAAGAGAAGAAATCGTTACAAAATCTACGATAGGTTTATCTTTCACGTATTTAGTTTTGGAGATACGGCTTACCAGTGTTTGTGGCTAGTCTTCTATAACTATCGCCTAATGCTTCGTCTGGTTTTCTCAGGAAAATGTGCCTAGTAGTCATTTGAGTGGGTGCTGGTGTATCTTGAGGCTTTTTTGTGTACACTAGCCGTTGTATAACCATGATTTATTATAGGCACCCGACCTAGTAAGGACTACACAAGAGTGCTCTAACACGAACAGGTCGAAGGTGCCAAAACTAGTGTTACTACGTGACGTGAATTTGTCAATCGCGGAATTTAGTTACGCCGTGCAGGATGTTAATTATTATCCAGATTATTAGCAGCCTAGACACTAAACAAAGGACTTCGGCCCAAGGCGTCATTGAAGTCAGCCTCACCGTTCATTTAGCTAATCGTGGGTTGGGATTCGACGGTGTGTTCAAGTGCCAAGAACCGCGGTTTCAGCCGGGCTAAGGTAAGCTAATAACACTATTTCTGAGTCCAGCTGAGAGGGTTAATGCGGTGGTCGCGCGACGGAGGGTGAGAATCACCCGCTCTCACCCGGCTTCTCACCCTGTCTATTACGCACCCACCCTATCTCACCCTGGTCGCCAGTTAGTAGTATGGTGGGTGACCACATGCGAATCCTGGCTGTTGTATGTTTTTATTTTTGATTATTTGACTTGCTGAGATTGCCCTTGCTGCTTCACACTTCAGCCTTATTCACCTGAACGCCCTGAACGCCACTGAAGCGCGGAGGATGGAGACTTAAGAAAGATGGGCTCCTACATTAGCCGCTGTCATGGCAATATCCGTTCTATTGGGAAGCCTGATATCACTGGCAGGTATCGATGAATAAACTTTTGGTTAATAGTCCATGAAAGCTAGATCTATTCTAAATCCTACTCTTCAGCGTTTCACCCTCAAGTCTCACAATTCCCCAGAAAATTTCGTCGCTCGTTCATGTTATTTATGAAGAGAGATAGGTTAACTCCATGGAGTGGTGCGAAGGTTCCTCCGCCAACGAGAGCAATTGCAACTTTTTCTCTGAAGAGTTTTTTAATGTACCATAATTGTTTCTAGTCTCAAAGGAACCATGTCCACTAGCTATATCGTATAGCGGTCTTCCTCGGTGTGTAGATATATTGAATGTTTGTGGAAGGCGCCGGTGCGATAAATAGTTGACCGGACCAACCCCGCAACTGATTACTGTGTATCTCGACCTCCTCTCAAACTAGTCAGTGTCTTAATTACGTTCTGCTACACTCCTTCGATATTACGCAACTTCCAGAATGGATACGCTTCGTGAGTCTTTCCGTTACGGGACCTCGCCTCTGACCTCGCCATCGCTCTCGCCCCCTTACAATGCCTACCTTTTTGGCAGTCACATCTCCAAATCTCTGTCACCGCTCCTCCATGGAATACTCTTCCGATCCTTGGGTCTATCGTGGAAATTCCATCTAGTCCAGACTACCGACAAAGGGAAGTTTCTAGACAAGGTTAATTCTTCGGAAACTATCGGCGTCTCTATCACAATGCCGAACAAGGTCACCTTCGGCCTACTTTTGGAAGATTTTACCGATGCCGCTCAAGTGATTGGGGCTGTTAATACCTCCTTTGTCCGCCTTGATTCGACCGGCAAGCGTCGTTATATTGGCACAAACACCGATTGTGTTGGAATACGCGAGGTTATTGTGCAGTACGATTCCACTGCTGTTGCCACTAGCAAGGGCAAACCAGCAATGGTTGTTGGAGGGGGAGGAGCCGCACGAAGCGCCGTATATGCGTTGTGGAAATGGTTCTCACCGTCAGAGATTTACATTGTCAATCGACTCAAGTCAGAGGTTGACGACATAGTGAAGCATTTTACTGCGGCAATGCCTGGTATTCAACTACGATATGTCGCGGACATTGCAATCGCGCAGTCAATTCTTGCCCCATCCATCATCGTGAGCACGATCCCGGATTATCCACCATCAGAACCCGGGGAGATTCTTTGCTGGCAGATCTGTGAGAAGATCTTTGGAAAGGTCGAAAAAGGTCTATTGGTTGACATGTGTTATATGCCGTCCCCGGGAACGAGACTCGTGAAAGCAGCAAACAAGGCGGGATGGAGGACTATCCTGGGTACGGAAGTGCTGGTACGAGTTTGTGTTGCGCAGCAAGTTCTATGGACGGAAAGACTACCGAATCAGCAGGGTGTGAGCGAGGCTATTGCTGCAATCACTCAACCGCAAAGTGCTGCAAAACTATAGACTCTAAATTCGCAATAGAATCAATCTTGTCCATTAATGCCGGTTGCACTCAGTATCGTCACATCCACGAAGTAGCTACAGAGGCCGTCATAGTATCGGAGGGCTGCCAAAGTTAACTCAGAAATCAAAATTTGATGCCAGAACCGGCCTAACCTAGAAAGGCCTGGTTGTGCCCGAGCGTAGATACTTTGAGGAATGCTCCACTTGATATTTGACCCCGCAAACCGGCATTCAAATCAATACGCCGGGTGTCAAGAGAACAACAAGGCGATCCGAGCTAACCAAGGAAACGACAATATTCAACATAATCCAGGGAAATTATTGTAAGGCTCATTCAAATGCCAATTTGACATCATTCAACTTACACGTTCTTCCAAATCTCATCATGGCTCACATCGCGCCCTTGGCCCAGGTATTTTTTTTCCATGATTTGGCCTAGGATAATGGATAGCTAAGAGATTTCAGCCGATTACCCTCAAACTTTCCGGAAAGGTGATCAAGAACCGTCTTTACCGCACTCCTCTCAGTGAATACGCCTCGACCTACGACGATGAGAACGTTGAAAATTGCGGTAAACCTCTTCCTCAATATGCAGAACTGTACCAATGAAAGTCAATAATAATCCATAGAAACTTTCATGCAAGTCTTGACTAATAGAGACCAGAGCTTGCTGATGGTGGCGCGGGCCTTATTTGCACTGGAAACATCCCAATCCACCGTGATAACCTTGAGAACTACAACAACGCCGTCCTCGATATCAACAATCCCTGGGACCCGGTGGAAGCCTTCCGTCCTGCCGTGCAAGCAGCAAAATCTCGAGGGGCACTGTTTCTCCCACAGTTGCAATTCCCCGGCCGGCAGGTCCCCGAATTTCTGAATGCAAACCCAAAGTCCTCGTCGAGCGAGCAGTTGCCGCCTTGCTTGAACAATACATACGGGAAGCCGAGTCCATTGACCAAGGCCGATATTGAGGATTTGAAGAGGCGCTATGTCTGGGCTGCACAGGTTCTAGCTAAAGCTGGAGCTGATGGGATTATTGTATGTCTGAGATGCTCCGATAGTGTATTCCGGAATAAAAAGCTAACCAACATGGATAGTTGCATGCTAGCCATGGTTACATCATGCAGCAGTTCCTTTCTCCGTTAATCAACAAGCGAACTGACGAGGTATGTTGCTCGCTCTAGCATGGTGAGCCCATGCTAACTGCTCAAAGTACGGAGGACCTCTCGAAAATCGCGCCCGTTTCATCCTCGAGGTTGTGAACGCCGTCAAGGAGAAGCTTCCATCGGATAAATTCGTCATTGCTGCCAAGCTCAACTGTCAGGACTGTATGTTCACTAAGATGAAAAGTGCCAAGACCTCATGCTAATGAACATAGTCATCGAGGGAGGTACAAGCTTTGCCGAACAATGCGTCGTCATCAAGTGGCTTGAAGACGCGGGTATTGACTTCTTCGACATATCTGGCGGAACATACGCTTCGCCTGCGTGGAGGGGAAACATCATGAGGGAGCTTACCGAGCGACCTTCGCAAAAGAAAAGAGGAAGGTATGTGCGGTCTAAATATGTGAGATGTATTCATCGCTGACATCGCTAGCTATTTCATTGAATGGGCTCAAGAGATGAAGAAAGTATTAGTAAGTTGTTACCACCTAAACAAATAATCTTGTGATCTAAGGCTAATTGATGACAAGTCGAGAGCCGTGATCGGAACGACTGGGGGCTGGAGAGATAGTCTTCGGATGTCTGAGGCAGTTGAAAATGGAGATATCGACATGATTGGCTTGGGCAGACCTCTTCGAGAGGATCCGTTTTTTGTGAACAAAGTCCTTCGGGGTGAAGTCAGAAGGGGCAATCTCTAACACCACATGTACTTGCTTCAAGATTTTTCTGTTCAAAAAGGCAAAAATAGATGTAAATCGTGTTGTTTGATTTGATTCATATGCGTCATTGCACGTATCTAGAAAAAGAACGATTGGACCTTAAAACACATCGCCAAATCCTGGACCAAAAATCTCTCGCAAAAGATCTGTGAATCCCTCCTCACCAAGGTCTGTGTCGGTGCTCGTGGTAGCTGTTGTTAAGAGCGGGTCATAGGTGGACACCAAAGCATTATTCACGCGCGTACCTGACAATGTCTCCCTTGATGCTGTGCTGTTAGGCAGATTTCCTCCGAGATGGCAACCCGGATCATGGTTAGTTCCATTATTATGCTGCGGCGCAAATGGTTCCCCGGGAGTGAGAACGGCATCCTTAAGCATAGACGCTCTTGCTCGCAGGATGACCAGCAAGTGCTGGCCAAGTAGCGCAGCAATCCCAACCTGATGAGACGGTGTAGTCCCTGCACGTTTCAATTGCAATGCAACTTGCGCTAGCAATGCAAGTAGCTCGACCTCATACCCCGCGCGTGACCCATGTAGATATGGGAAAAGCTTGAGAGCTAGTACTGCCGCATAAGAAATCATCGCCCAAGTTGGAGAAAGCATACAGTACATTGGTTCTCCAATGACCGGTAGGTCTCGTACAGCAACTTCGCAACAGTGTATAGCGGCATCAAAGCAGTCCTCGCGAATGGCATCTAGCTCACGATCATTGTTGGCAGAAATATTGAGTGCAGAAGATAAGGTCCACAGCCGGTTGTGAATGTAGACATAATAAAGGTAAAGGTCTGGAAGCTTTTCGGGATGAGGTAAAATAGTGTTTGGAGATGGCAGCCAAGTCGCTTGCCATGGTCCAAAATCGGTGTCCACAAGATCGCGCACCCAGTGAGGGTTTGAATGCGGTATACTTGCCTGCCGTCTTATCTCACTTTGGAGAGTAGCTAGATGACGGCGAAGAAGGATGAACGCACAGGTGTGCTTATCGGTCAAATCAGCCAGCGGGTGCATCCACCAGTTCTCGATGTTGCAGGTCAACTCTGTCTCCGGGAAGGCATTTATCCGGCCACAAGCTGCACTATTCGCTCGCTCCCAAAGCAGGATCCGTAACCAGGTGCGCTCTCTATTGCGAGCCAGCCGCTGAAGGTAGGTTTGATCTTCCAACAAGGGACCGTCAGAAGTCTCGGGGTTTTCCTGGATGGAAACTGCAGATCGCTGTCCGAAGGTGAGGAGACGCTGAGAGTGGGTGCCTTCAGGCGATCGATTTTGCGTATCGCAGGAGTCTGATTCCTTTTGGTAGCGTGTCCGGCGCTGTTGATCGAGTCCCAGCTCTGCTGCTACTCCAAAGGCGTACATGGTGTATAGCCATGATCGTTCTTCGGATAGAGTGTTCGCCGGAGTTGCTGATAAGAGCGAGATATAGTACCCCTGGACAACCTCCACCGTCTTATAGCCACAAGTATGAACATGTCGAGATAGCTTCTCCCCATGAAGTCGTAGCCTTTTGGCTAGATTGCCCGAGGCATGGTCGAATTGTGCCGTGAGAGCAAGGATCCAGGTAAACAAGAGGGAGGATCGGGATCGAACATAGCCCGGAGTGTGTAACATGGGATCGAGAATTCCGTTGATCAAATGAAGGCGTGAAAAATAGCTGTAGCAACTTAGTAGACTTCTTCTGGGGTCTTCTCGTCACGGTAGACTCACACTGGAAATAGTGCATAGGCCTCTTCCATTGACACCAATCCAAGATCCACTGGATCTAAGTCTGGGCCGATATCTCGTGGAGGATTCGCACCGGGCGATCGAAAGTAATTTGAGTATCGGTCAGACTCCATTGCAGGGGCAAATAATGCATCGATTCCACTTTCGAGAACCTTGCGATCTAGGTGAAGTCCAAGAGAAACGTAACCGGGTCGGTGGAGCAGATATCGACCTATGCCCTCACCATCTCCAGAAATGGACTCAAAGTTTGAGGCTGGTGATAAATCTGTGGGGCCAACTTGAGTTTCCAGTGCTTGTGCAGCACTGGCAGCTTCTGCCATGAGAGCCAGTGGGTTGCTAACTGGTTCCAAGCTCACGTGCGAGGTGATGGTCTCAGGAGCATAAGGCGTAGTCACATACGGGCTTTGATTCTGTTCCGATGCCGGTAGACCACTTGCATTGATCGTGCTTGAACTGGGTGATAGTGGGTTTTGGTGACCAGGCCTCCTGCTTTCGGCAGGTAGCTCCCAGTCACCATTGCCTCGGTCAATTTTGTGTATGTTTGATCGTAGGAGGTCGAGCATTTCAGATTCATCTCGCCCCGGAGATAAGCTCTGAATTTCAGATGCTTTATCTGTCGATGCGCGGGCTTTCTTCAGTTCCGCCTGCATCTTTCGATAGGCCTTTTCGAATCCATGATATCGACCAACTGCACCTCGCTTCCGACCTAGTGGGCGCGGGGTGGGAATATTGCAGGCACGGTTCGTGCGTCTGCAGCGGTCGCAAGGCTCATCGGGTTCTTTGGTTGAACTGGACGCGTTCGGCCGGATACATCGCATTTTGAGCTTGCGACATGCTTCGCACGCCGCTGTCGGCGGAATATGGGCTTGTTGCCTAGTCATCGGTCGCTCGGAGCTAGTAGCCATGGCTCAAGTCTGCCTTTCACCCGAGTCACACAGCTGCAGAATGTGACAATTTGATAACATATCCTGTTGTCAAACGAAACCCGATTCGTTGCCTCTACTGAGCGTCTTGGGTGGTGGTGGGAAGTTCCGCATGGTGGCTTAAAGGCGTGGGCGTGCATTTTGCGGGGAAGATGGCCGGGAAATTGGGGAATTAGTCAAAGCCGCTGAACTTTTACACAGACACCAGAATGACCAAAAATTTCGTACAAATTCAAGTACGACGTATGTGGGCTCTCTCCTTCAATGAGGAAACCAATTTAATTCCTCGCCCTCGGATCAATTTGGGTTGGTTTTCCTGCAACGCTTAGAGTCATACGGCTGTGCGGGAGAGCTCTAGTCAGAATCTAATAACGATCGAGCAATTTATTTCCACGCGTTATTCCTGCATGAATCAATGTCTAATAACTATAGTACTTCCCCCCATAGACCAATAAATATTCAAGCTAAATAAGCCCCAAATTGGTTGGTTGAGAGGGAGAATTTGAAGAACGACACCCTCGGCAGATCCATCATCGTCCCTAACCGGGGACTAGATTTAATAGCCGGACTTTCTCCACATCTTTAAGTATGACTCTTGAGATGAGAACATTGTCTTCGCAAATTATAGACACGAGTTAAGGATGATTCATTCATAGATCTTTTGGATTCCCTTCGAACTTCTACATTCTTGACTCATCGTCTTTCTCACAATGTCCACCGTCAAGGTAGCTATCGCCACTAACTCCTTAGGGAAGTCGGCTGCTGGTCATACGATCCATCGGAAACTTGAAGTTGCCAAGTCATACGGCTTTGATGGCGTTGAAGTCGCTTTTGAATGTGTTGATGCGCATGCAGCTACCTTGTCAACCTTAAAGTCTCGGGAAGATCGCTTGCGCGCGGCAGCATCGGATATTTTCAGCAAAGCATCGTCCCTGTCGCTCTCCCTTGTTGCATTGAATCCATTCGGAGCATACGATGGACTTATCGCAGTTCAAGATGTCGAAGACAGGCTAGTATAGGCAGAACTATGGTGTCAATCGTGTCAAATCATGCGCATTCCCATTTTTCAAGTACAGTGTACATCTCCAAACTCAGAGTGAATCGCCTGCTGAAGATTCTCAGATTTGTTTGGCTCTTTATCCCCTCCAAGAATCCAAAATCACTTCCGATCCCAAGACGATTGCTGCAAATATGCGAAAGCTTGGGCTTTTAGCACAAAGGTATAATTTATGCGTGGCCTACGAAGCCCCTTCATGGGGTATCCACAAGAATACATGGCAGCATATCCAGGAAGTCCTCGATCTAGTCAATCTTCCGAACGTCGGACATTGCCTTGACACATTCCATATAGCGTCAAAAGAGGCAGGCGATCCGTTTAATGTTGATTCGCCTGTGCGACCGGACGGTATGAAACGTCTGCGACATAGTTTGGAGGAATTGCAGCAAACGGTCGACCCTTCTCGCATCGTTTATCTACAGCTTAGCGATGCGACTGTTGCAGATCCAAAGCAACGAGCGTACCCACGGAGAGACTTGAATCAGCCTGCATTTATGACTCAGTCCCAGAAATTGTCGCATATTTCCTTGCGAGGAGAACTACGGAGGAACTCTGCCGGCTTTACAGGTTGCTAAGACTTTGTTTGATATGGGGTATTCTGGCTGGGTGTCAATGGAAGCTTTCCATACAGACATGTCTGAAACTCGGTCTTCGTGAGAGGATCCCTCTCAAATACCATGATATTCTGCTAACTTTAGGAAGGGTACCGGATCATTGGGCAGATCGTGGTATGAAATCGTGGAATGAAGTTGCTCTCCAATGCGGACTTATTCGTCATGAGTACCCTTAATGTATTTTGAATAACTTGAACTAATAACTCCTAGGCGGGAAGATATAGCGAATTGATTGCGTTTGGGTATAAGATTCTGAAGTGATCAGCTGCCTTACTCAAGAAGATAATTCTGGATGTCGCAATTTTCTCGGTTCCTAATTACTCTCATTCATGAATCAACTATACACAGCCTTTGTAGTCTTGTGCGCAGTATTCTATACTCCTCTTCCTCCGTCCACTTCCAGAGTTGTGCCGGTCACAAATGTGCTCTGATCGGAACCTAGGTACCAGGCGGCATTTGCCACGTCTTGGGGTTCAGTGACCCTCTTCATTGGTATAGACTCCATAACAGTGTGCAGTTTCTGATCAGAGCCAGCGCCAGTCCCGATAGACTTTCTCAACCTGGCGTTTATCAACAATGGATTCTTCGCTTAATTTGGAAATTTAGGGGCAACTGGTGAGTGGGACTTACATTGAAGTATTTCCAATTGCGGGGGCAATGCAGTTGAAGCGGATGACTGGTGCGTATTCGAGTGCCAGTGTTTTGGTGAACCCCTTTGCGTCTATTAGTCAGTTTTGATGACTAGTATATGAGAGACAATCAATAGTTACCGTGACGGCCGCTTTTGACGCATTATAGATCGCAAACCCTGGTCGAGGTCGGGTGAAGCCAGTACTGAGATACGCGTGAGTGATGATTTTTATACTTGCACGGTCGCCTCGACCATACCTTGTGATGTTGATAAAGACACCATGCCCTTGTTCCAACATGAACGGGGCGAAATTGGACGCGCTGAGGAAAATAGGCTGAGTCCCATCGAGTAAGTATTTGGTTTTAATGTGGAGGATTGAAATGGTCACCTTGACGTTCACATTGAAGGTCCTATCAAATTCCTCCATGGACTTTGTGTGCAGTGGCTATAGAATATGTGAGATGCCGTTGCTATATCGTCTTTTGGGTAGCCTTATAGACGGATCATGGGTAATACCTGAGAAAAACGGTGTCAGCAAATTATTACCTCCGTCCTTCGAATACTCCAAATGTGTACCTGCGTTATTCACAATCACATCCACCCTTCCATAATCTTTTCGAATAATATCCAATACTGTCTCCCACGTCTCTTGCTTCGATACATCGCCGAAGACAAATTGTAGGTTGGGATCGCCGCGAGCCTTCGCTTCGCCCCCAGATCTATTCAGGTCTATAATGACGACTTTCCAGCCTTCTTGGCTGAACTTGTCCACAATAGCTGCCCCAAAGCCATCGGCACCACCTATAGCCACTGTCAATTTGCAATTTTTAAAAGAGGATGGATTTCTTCAAACACACCTGTAACAATTGCTGTCCTGGGAGATTCCATTTTGAACGCTGACTTTCAGTATGTGGAGGTCGAAACAATAAATGAGGCTAAAATTAGTCCCTAATCAAAGGAGACCTATGGGGAAGTGATGCCATTATAAACTCTCCAGGTCTACATGATCGGACGTTAGTTTTATTATCCGCTTGGTTCAGAAGTACGCAATGCTGACCGGAGGTTAATTTAAAGACCCGGGAGTTGGATTACCAGAGCCCACAATCTCCAGGCTACCCCATGGGGAGGGAATACTTCAATTTCCGGGGGATTTCCAAAAGTTTAAAAAGCAGTCAATGTACAACAATCTGCGCTCGCTTGCTTTCTTGGCTGAAATTCGCTTGAACTCAGCTGGTGGTTCTATAAGTACCAAAACATATCAACGTGGCGCACAGGCCCTCCCTGACCCGCGTCATGTACAACCCTCGCTGGCTGGGATCTAGTTCCATGGCCTGTTGCACGATTAATAGTAGCAAGCTAAAGGGTGAGGGCCTGTCGTGGGATCTTCGAAGCTGACTCGCTGCCTCCGCCTCCTCTTTGCGCGCTAACCCCAGAGGAAACCAGGTAACGGTAGCGGTCAGCTTGCACAGTATCAAACTGCTTCCCTCGCACGCCAATACTGGTTAACTACAGAGAGAGAAAATGAACACAAACCATACTGGATTACGTAAATGCATGATCATAAAGAGGCAGTAAACCCGGGTATCAATTGGCTCAACAAAAGAGCAAGAGCAACATAAATAAACCTCCACCTTCTCACAGATGAAAGTAATACATACAAGTACACATTTAGTGGGAGCAATCGTCTGGACAATAGGTCATGAAGGGCATGACTCGTCAAGTCAAAGACAGATCCACTGCCCTTGATGATCTGCAAGAAAGTAAGAAGGCCGCCCACAGGATAATATAGCATAAACTGCGAATCCGAAGGGAGATAGAAACAATAATAGCAAAGGATATATGCGCCCACTTCCAGCACCGTGGACATAAAGAGATAATAACAGCACAATGGATATAAGAGATCAATGGTTTTCCATGACTCCGTGCATCCTAGTTGGACTGAAGATGCAAAAGTTTATAATTCGATTGCCTCTCATGGCTGTGAGAGGGGTAATATTGGCAGATGAAGGAATTCAATGAGGGGTCGTTTCGCGTGAGTCCCTTTCTTGTCATACATGGCGGGTGAGACCATGCAGCAAGGAGACTTGATGTTTGAGGATAGTCCTGTATCGGGAGGGTTGCTTCCCTATGATTATGTGGAGCTTGGGCTTTCTGTTATGACTTCCGCGCCTTGCCTAGCCAGGTGTGCCACCATTTGCAGACACCGAGAACTGCGGCACGACCGTCGTCTTTGCGCTCCGTCCCATCTGGGTTGCCCATGACCATGGCGAAGACCCAGAAGGATGCCGCTGTCCAAGCACACAAAAGGATAGCTATGCTGAAAAGGGGCGAGAGTGTCAACACAAGCAAAGACATGCCAACGGTGTAGTATCGATTTGTCTCGCCCGTCGTGGATGGCTGTTCGGCGTCGATCTCGGCGTGAATCCATTGCGTGGAGGATGAGCGATGTGAAGGCGACTGCATGCGCACGAGGCGTTCGTGGATATGTAGGGCAGGGGATAGGAGGTCGCACAGCTGCGATTTGAAGGAGGTATTGCGGAGGTATGGTGTAGGAGGGCAGAGTCGGATGGGAGAGATGAGGATGGCGAATATCAGCGCGAAACAAGTGTACAGGCAGGCGCCGAAAGAGTATATTGGGACCGGAACGGAGAGACGAAACTATGCCAAGCTATGTTAGGCCTAGAGCTCCTTGAGAGGTGTTTTAGACAGCTTCTGCGAATCCACTTACGATCATGAGTAGCGCATCTTGGCTTTCCACCCCGGGTAAATCCACGGGCATGCCTCGCTTTTGCCTGCGAGGTGTACCCGAGTGATCGGCCGACATCAACGAGGTCTGGCCAGCCCAGCTGCCAGGGGAGCGCTCTTCTTTATGGATCACTCCACCCGACACCACCACGCGGGTGACAGGAGACTCGTTGTCGACCCGAGAAGAGCGCCGTGAAGCTTCCGGAGACTGGGCGAGGGATCTCCGCGGACCAGAGGATCGAGGACTCCCCTCGCAGGGCGTGCTGTCGACGGAGGGGCGCCACGGAGCTGTATGACTAGGTTCGGGGGATTCCAGAGATCGATCGGGCAACGGGGCAAGGACTGAATTGCGAGCTGCAGCACGGAGGGGTTCCTGGCCTTGCTGGTAGGCAGGACTATACGACATCTCCGGTGGCCGCATGGCGAGCCAGAGAAGAGGAGAAAGAACAGGGCGAAACGGAGGTGATGCCGATGGTCGTACAAGGCGCACGGAAGGCGACTATGGCTTTGTAGGGCTCACTCCATGGTCTCCCAGGCTTAGAGCATAGTGAACCCTTCTTCTCATTAGGGGGCGGCGAGGGGTAGAGACAACGGTCCGGCTTCAGGGAGCGGAGGGAGAGGAGGCAACAGGGCAGGAGGAATTTCCCATCGGGGGAGGGAAAAGAGATCAGGGCGGAAAGACGGACTTATAAGACAGAGGACCGCGCAGCGGAAGAGCCAGAAAACATGCCATGGCAGCGGAGGAGGATTTCTTGCTGTTTGCAGGCTGTCTGCGCCAAGACGCCCAGGTGCCGAGCCCTTGGCATTTTGAGGGTCGAGGCTGGCGGTGGTGGTACTGGAAGGTAATTTACTGAGATTTCGATTGCCGGGGGGGCATGGACAGAGCTGTCCGGTTTATTAGGACGATTACGGGTCTCTTCGAAGATTCAATTTGTGAATTGTCCCCGATCGTCACCATTCTTTGGTCTGTCGTCTGTTGTCGTGCAGATCGACCAGGGCTTGGACTTGGGAGGACATGCAGCGACGATTGTGGTGAGAGTGCACTGTAAATTACATACTCCGTTCCACAACGGTAATTTACCCAATGCCAAGATGCCAAGCCAAATCTCGGGCTCACCAGTGTTGAATACTCCTACTGATTGGTTAACTTGCCTAATGATCCGCACTCAAAGGCATCTTGGCGTTTGGTAGTGGTAATGCAGTGTATCAATATAACACGTGATTAGCAGTGTGCCAATGAAATGTAAGAAGTAGGACTATCGTACGAGAATTGAATGCCGAGTACGGAGATTATTCTGCAAAAGCTAGGGCTTACTTGCTAGCATAAAATTATAACTTATGCTTGAGGATCATCTCGTGTCTTCGTTCTCTATCCATCTCCTCCGAGACACACTCCGTAATTTCAGGCCGTGCCGCCGAGCCCTGCCGAGACGCCGAGAGGATTGGCATTCATTGAAAAGAGTGGGTGAGAAAAAAAAAAGGAAAGGGAGTGAAAGGCGTCAACCCGAGGGGAAAGGGCTCCCTGTATGCTCATTTTCAATATTTCTTAGGTAAAATATCTTGATACTGCACTGAGAATGTCTGGGTGCATATGTACCCTGATCTAGCATCTATCTCCGAGGGAACAAGCAGTAGTGCTGATCTTGCATAATAGCATTAAAACAACTAGATACCATACCATACTCACAGATCTTTACATGTCAATCATCTCACGAGCTTTTCGGGACTGTCAGATTTCCTCATTTCATTGAACCTTCATTGTCCCTTCTGTGTACCCCAGTGCGATTTGTCCCCCGGCAATACTTTCCAGGATGCCCAGTCTCAGTCCTCCCTCTCCCTCAAGAGTCTCATTCCGCCCGCCCAGCTGCCCAGACTCGGTGAGTCAATAGTCGCAACTCCATTTGTCACATCTGACCAACTCGCCATTGCTCTTGGTCTAGGCTCGTCCTTGGCTCTGCTCCCGAAGGGTTTAACTTTGAGATCAATACGGAGGGGAATTTCTCGGCACCTTTCAAGGCACCTTACAGCACTTCCCGCCCAGCGAGCTTGGCTGGAACGGTCAGATCCGCGGCTTGCGTGGCCCCAGCCTGGGCTCCGTCAGTCGGTCGTCGAGACGCCCATAGCATCTGAAACGTCGGAGATACGGACTGATCGTCTACCCGACTGCCCCTGCCTTGCGAGCAGTTGGCCAGAGTAGACATTCAACCCGTCTGGTTTTCTTGTAAGCACCTTTTTTTATTCATGTGCCCGGCCTCGGGAATAGCCCCCGGCATAAATGATGGTGGTCCACCATCCGTCGATCATAAGGTGCCCGCACATACTTGATGAAGTGGTTAGGGGTGGGGGAGATCTGTCACATCTTCTGATGCCCGGATCCTGTTATCGTGCCAGCCATACCATGCGTCAACCCAACTTGTGAGCCATATCTCGCTCGTATAGGAGATGTGGGCACAACTCCCGGCCCGAGGGTATTCCATAATGGAAAAAAATCCCGACCATGAAGTTGACAGCGGATGAACGATTTTGCCAATCGGTTCATCGCCATATCTATCACAGTTGTTATTGATTATCGAAGCTCCGATTGGTTGGCTTGTGGTTTGAAGTATCATTCAATAACTCTGGGTTAATTCATCACATTACGATCATTCTGATCGCAAAAGGACATAATTTGGCTTTTGAAACTAGCATTCCTATCATTTATGTATCTTGAACAAGGCTCATTTTCTCAACCAGCGACCGACTTCTTCGCTTTCATTGATATCACCACCTCCATTTAATAGCCTTAGTCTCTCCTTTCTTCTTTGACAAGATCACTATCCGAATGTGTATTCGAAGTAATCAATCTCGTGGAAGTCTTGCTTGATGGCCTCACAGCCCTTGGCACTGGTCAAGCATCTGAGCCAGCCCACAAGTGAAGACCCCAATATTTGACGAGCTATTTCGGGCTTCCGCCACCTCGTTCATGACTAGTTCAGACATGTTAGGGTGGTCCGGCATGAAACGCAGCCCACCGATCGCAGCAGTTAGGCTGAGTCCCGTGCTCGTGACCTCTGGAGCAGAGTTCTTGGAAAGTGCCCAATCATCCAGGTCGGACTCGTATGAGGCCATGTCAAGCTTGGTGCAGTAGGTCGAGATAGTAATGTCTTTGTGTTGCATGATTGATGCCATTCTTCCCGTAAAAACTTGACCGAATATGGATTTTGACGAACTGATCAAGCGAGGGAAATCTCAGAGCCTTATGTCCACTCTTCTGGGAACCCTCCAGATGATCTAGGAGATAAGGTACTGCTGCTGCAATACTTGTACCTCCGACATCAATTAAAGTGGTGTCAAGGTGGTGCAGTGGCTCATTGTGTCCGTATGGCCCTTCAAGGTGGAGCGTCGGATAAATGATACCATTTGCTTGGCGACATTGATCACGGAGGGGACGATCCCAGCCATCAAAGGGTCTAACGTAGAAAATAAGCTTATTCTGATCCTTCTCAGTTGTAGCAGACCTTCCATTTTCACTTCCGAGCCGGGTACCCAAGCACCCTATTAGAAAGGATGGCTCTCCCAGAAGCTCGGTACGCCTCTTTGGTAAATAAGGTAGTGCTAGTCTAGCCTCGACTTCTCAGTGAGGGTTCCCGGGGTCATTTGATGGTAAGCAGATCACTCTCTACATCATAAACGACCGTGGAAGATTGCCCTGAAGAATATTTAGGGTGGAAAGATGGTTCGAGAAATTGGCAAGTCTGCTCCCAGTTGTGCTTGCATATGAACTAAGCCGAGCAAACCTGTTAGTTAAAGGCTTTTCAGTTAGATGCTAAGTCTGCAATCTGAATCCTCGGTTGAGCTGCTCTTTTGTATACTGATCTGATAAGAGAATCAGATTTTCATGTAGATCTCGGAACTGGGCCATGGATGCGGAGACAACAACAGACCCAGATTAGAAACTATGGGTATACCGATCAAGCCACTCATTATCTTCGGCAAATTGGTTGCCGACTTCAGTCTGAATGAACTCGACATTGTCGGATTATCCGCAGGTTATTTAAAAATCGGAAGCTTAGCCTGAGCCTAAAGAGAAAAGCTCATCAGGCGATGAAAGGCGAGCGGACCCGGAGGATTCCCTGATTAGTTGATGCATACTTGGTCTTGTTGATGTCTTGGAATTCTGACAGCAAAGGTTCTGGGAGTTATGTGGGCTCTTTGAAATGTTAGGTAGCCAAAGAAAAGACAAAAAATAAAGTGAGACCGTCGGCGGATATACACGCGGTTCACATTTCATCAAGTGTGAGGCCCGTTAGGTCCACGCTCAGTGCCGGAATCACCCTGCAGGCTTTGCGAGTGGGAACATATAACCATAGGTGATTTGACGAAACAAGACGCCACATTAAGGATCAAGATCTGAAGTCAATCAGCATCCACGGCGCCAGAATCAGCGTTCCTGGCATCTTCAAACGCCTCTCCGGGTCCGGTTAACCGGTTTCCGAAGTCGTTCCATATGAAAAAAACTAAATTGGTCAGGTATTTATATGAATCCTTTTCAGAAAAAGCCAAGTGGTCTTCGGACCAGCAAGACTTCCGTCTACTCTCCAACTTCTCTTCTTTTTCTGTCAAGGTCTGCGCTGAGCAAGACGAGGAATCTCTTCGCTGTCGCTGGGGTTCCAGCTCCTTCTGAGCTGTCATGCAGTGACACACACACTCGACTGGCCTGTCACTTGGGTAACAACAAGCCCTGACGGTCATGCTGATCACAAAAAGATTATTATCAATGATCAATGGCTCTGAACAAGTGGACAAAGCAGACCGTGTGGTTGTCAACATGTTCAATGGCCTCGGGCATGTATCGAAAAGGCACAAATGGCATGGATGGTCTTTCAATGGCCACGCAGTGCCCCAGTGGATCCGGGATCGAACCTGGCTCCCTTCGTCGTTCATGATAAAAATCGTACTCTTACGATGATTATGACGAAGAGATGGCTCTTATGACGAACGACTGGTACCATACCTTGGTGCAGGGGAGATCAAGTCCGAGTTCCAAGTACTTATACGGTCCTATAGGAGCTGGGCCGATTCCCGATTCGTTCCTGTTCAACAATTCAACAAGCCAGGGTTATCCAATTCAGGCGGGTGAGATCTACCTCATCCGTCTACTTGAAATTCCCGCGATTTATCGGTCAGATCTCTAGATTGAGGACCATGCTATGCCAATCTTCGATATCGATGGTGTCGGGGAATATCGTGGATTACTTGAACCTGAAAAGGACAAAACAACCCTCCTGACTTCATTTTTGCGGGCTTTATCACCCGTATTATCCTGGCTCTTTTCTTTTTATCTGTCTATGTGGTTGTTGGAATGATCTCTATATCCGTCCACGGAGTCTGAGATCTGAAGCTTACCATACACGAATCAGACTTGGGTGATGAAAGGGCGACAGCACAGGGGGAGGGAGAAGTATCGAGGCTAACTTAGGTAAGGAGCGGTACAAATAGACACAATTCTGTACGTAGTTTGTTTGAACTTACAGTATAGCCATATAGAATAGTTCAGCGAACTTCTGGGACCACTATGAAGTTTTTGCGGGCCTTAAATTCAACCTACGTGTAGACACCTCATGCATATGAGCACTCTCATAGAAGACACAATATCCCCTGTTGGCTTTGCGCCTACAATTGTCTATTGACCGTCTTTCCTAGTCTGTACTCGCGACACCCTGGACGCCCACGTGTATTACGCGAAATCTAGTATTTTGGCCCCATCCCCAGCCAATACAATGAAAGAACCAAAACGAATCCCCTTAAACCCACAGCCTAAATTCCTAACACAAAATATGACCCAGAAAAAGTACGACAGATCAAGCCAGCTGCATGTCGCAAGGGGTCAATCCGATCGCCGGCATCATTCCCGAGCACGCACCACAGACAAGGTTCAGCCCGACAAAAAGATCGCCCACACACCCCCTGCTTCCTGTCAGACATGCCGAGTCCCTGTCCCTGAACCCTACTGTACTGACAGAGCAGGCTGCACAGTTACAGTACGGTGTTTGATTATTCCCGGTGCAGGATAAGCAACCGCAGGTACAGGGGGGGATGCCACCCCACGGGCAGTACATACCGTATTTGTA